TTAACAATATTTATTTAGAAATATTTTTAATATAATATTTCTAAATAAATATTATTTAGAAATATTAAATAATATTTATTTAGAAATATTATATTAAAATAATATAAATTTAGAAATATTTTTCCTAAATATGAAACTTATTGTAAGATTATATTTATTTATTGATTACTTACTATACTATATATCGATTTTTGCTTTAGCATTATGAAATATAAAACATTATTTGTTTAGTTAACAGCAATTGTAATAAGGTTGAGCTGAGTCGTACACAAGAACTATTGCGCAAGTATTATTGATAATTAACTTTTTTTTATATATTTTTTTCATATTTTATTAAATCATTGGCAAGAACAAAATAAAAAGTAGCGTGACTAAAAGATTCGAAAAAGCTGCAGCCAGAAAATCTTCATATATTTCTAATTTTTTCAAATCAAAAAAAGTTTTGGAAATCCTAAAAAAATTTTATAAAAAGAATTTTGAAAGCTGTTTAAAAAGACTCACTAGGGGAAAGTCGGAAAACCCCCGGACACTTAAGGAAAAAATAGGTTGTACACATGTACTAACATAAAACTAAGTGTTAAAAGGCTTTTTTAAAAGTATAAACATTATCTATTGAATTTGAAACAACAAAATAGTCATTATCTAGCTTAATAATATACAAAACGTAAAAGAAAAAATGTTAGAAAGAAAAGCATGTTTCAAAATTGGAGCCCCGGAGACTTTAGTTTTACCATGATTTTATCTCTTTTTAACCCGTGTGACACAAATATAATATATAATTAATTAGAATTGGAATATTCTCAACACATTTAAAAAAAAAATCACCTTGAAAAATTGCCTCTGATATATAAGGAATAAGAATGAGAATCATTTAAAATGTAAACATTAGTATTTTACTAATGAAAAAATAAAAACACTTTAAAAACACTTTTTTCAAATATTAGGTCTGTTTATTGGAATGAATTTCTATTATGGGTTTGTGTAATATATTAAATGCGTTATTATTTATAAAAAAAAGTTGCTTATTTTTATTATTTAAATGATTTAAGTTATCCGGAACCACCCTCCAATGTGTCCGATACTACCTCATACCTCATACACAAATACTAGTTTTAAAAACTAGCGAATTAAAGTGATAAACGGATTTATTTTTTTAAACAAATATTGTAAATTAAAATGCATCTTTAATCAATAAAAAGTTATTTGTTTACATAAAAATTTGGTATATTAATACGCGAATCAATTATGATGATACATCGCTCTTCTGGTGTTGGAAAAGAATATCTTACACTCCCAACCAATCACTTCAACTTATTATGACAGATATTTTGCATGTGCCATATTTTCAATCAAATAATATTTTTATAGTATTTAAAATCATAAAGCTTCTTTAGTTTAAGCTGCACGTCAAGTGTTCGGAGTTACCCGCCCTCCGGTGCCCTATATCGACAGTTTAAAAAAAAAAAAATTCTGGTTGTTTTTATTCGAATGTTAGATCAAAATCAGATTATTTAACCTATCAAAACGTAAAATTGAAATCAGTTTGGTTAACCTCTCTTTGGTTAACCTCTCAATCTATATCAAAATGAACATGTCTCATAACAAAAAATGACGATGTCACTGAGGCAGTGACGTATTTTTTTTAACCACGAGATAAAGAATGTAAAAACTATGGTTTATTTATTCAATGAGTATTGATTTGGATTTTATTTCAAATTTAGAACGAATGCTTTTGTGTTCGAAATGAGGTGGATATTCTAGATACACTGGGACATATGAAGTGCATATTTCATTTACTAAGAACACAAGACATTAGGAAAAGGTTAACAAATAGTAGTTTGCACATTTGTTTTTACGAAATTTTTTTTAAAAAAGATACCAAAACAAACTATTTTAGAAAACTAACAGCAATAGTTGCTTTAAAAGGAGCGAAAGTTTTAAAGTATTTTTGAAAACTTTTGAAGAACGTCTCAAAAAGGATTCTTGACATCACTTTATTTTTTTAGTACCGGTTTTGGTCTTTAATTTGGTGGTTTTTTGTGCATTTAACTTGATGTTTTAAAATACATATAAATTTTTTATAATGTTATGGTTGCTTAAATTATTTGTTATTAAAAAAATTGCATATTCTGTTTTAAATCAAATTTAGGTGGGGAATTAAATAGTATAATCAAATAGCATTGAGTAATAATAATAATTAAAAAAAAAAAAAAAATATATATATATATATATATATATATATATATATATATATATATATATATATATATATATATATATATATATACATATATATATATATATATATATATATAATATATATATATATATATATATATATATATATATATATATATATATATATATATATATATATATATATATATATATATATATATATATATATATATATATAAGATTTAATTTACAATTAAAACTCTGGTAAATAAATTTAAAAACTGAAGACAATACATAGAAAAAATTAACGGACAAATAAATTTGTTACAAACCAATTAAAAATTATAATACAAATTATGACAAAATGAACTTCCTAATATTAAAATCTTAATAATAATAATAATAATAATAATAATAATAATAATAATAATAATAATAGTAATAATATAGTAAGTTAGATAGATAAATTTATAATATAATGAGATGTTTGTTTATTTAAAGAAGGATTTTCCCATTTAATATGAAGTGCTTCTTTTATTTTTAAACTGTTAATGGTAGAGGCAGTATCCAAATAAGCAAATAGTTTTTGATTAATTTTAATTTGGTTAAACCTCTTTCACCCTTAGCTACAGTTATTAGCAATGTAAGAAACAATCTTAAAGTTTGTTTGGGTATAATTCTTGCAGTTCTCATTTTTCTAAAAAATTTAACAGTTCCAAATGACACATTTGATCTGCGGTCATATCCCAAATTGTTTGAGCCGTTAAAAAGTTAAATTCTTCTACAATATTTTTAAGATTTTCAAATTTTTGATACTATCAAGTATTGCAAGTAATGAAATTTTGACTGTATCGAAATTTTGACAGTATCGAAATCCCATGGCATTTTCTTCTTTTTTCTTTTTCGTTCCTATATTAGTTTTATGTTCATTTGTTAAGGCCTTTTATTCGTATAAAGGATAGCGCACGAACTATGCTTAGGGATCGTCCATAAAGTACGTACGCTCGGAGAGGAAGAGGAGGTCTGCAAATGGCGTTTCTGAGATAAGGAGGCAGTAGGTCAATTATAAAAGTATGGTGAAACTAAATTTAAAAAAATATCATAAAATGTTGGATTAGTAGCTTAAAAGTGTAGGTGCTTTTAGGGAGGTAGAGAGAACTCAAAAAAGCGTAGGGAAAATTGCGGGGAGAGGGGGGGGGGGGGGTAAGTGAGCGAAAAAAAAGCGTACGTACTTTATGGACGACTTCTTATTCTTGTAATGGCTTTATAGCAAAAGCAATAAGACCCTTTTTTTGTGTAAAAAAATAGTATGCGTATATGCGTAATAATACAACTTATATGCAATATATCTAAAATGATTTTGGCGCCCTTTGAATGTTGCGCCTTTGGAAACTTTGCATATGTCAGCGCCTAGCTACAGCTCTGTATAAAACAAATTTTTAAAGCTTACAACTTTTTTTTTTTTATTAATGTCATTAGTACATTGCGCAAAAAAAGACTCACAATGTCTGACGTAGTTTGAAAGATCATGTTCAGTAATATGCTCACAACCGTTCCTCATTCGTTCTAATAAATAGTTATTTCCAAAGGGAGCAATTTGATTTCTTGTAACATTCCTAATTTTCAAGAACGTTCCTTCAAAAAGATTTAGAAAAGTTGAGTATCGGGATAAAAAACAAACACTATTGTGATAAATATCATAAAAACCTGATAAAAAATAATGAAAGTTAACGTTGTCCATCACCAAGGTAAACTCTTCTTCCACTATCAAAAAACCTTATCATCTGGTTTACAAGTTTTTTGGATTTTAGTAATTATGATACTAAGCAGTTAATTAATTATATGCTATAAATTGAGTTTAGTTACATTTAAACATTGTAATACATTGTAAACAAATCATTTTACTAATTTGTAAAGATAGAAAAATAAATAAATAAAAATAATAATAATAATGCTTATGATGACATTCTTAAATTTATAAATTAATAAATTTAAAATAATAACTATTATGTTAAAAAAGGAATTGGAGAGGAAGTTTCTAGTTTCTGGTTTAAAGCTTCTTAACTGATGCATTTGCTGATTGAAAATAAATATTATGTTATAAAAGAAATTGGAGAGGAAGTTTCTTGCAGGGTTTAAAACTTCTTTTTACTTCTTAACTGATGCATTGGCTAAATGAAACAGAATTTCTTATATTGCGAGGGTTCATGGAATTTAGACCAACTGATCAAATTATTAATTGTTTCATTATTTTTATGTTTTTTTTTTTTCATTATTTCACACATTTCATTATTTTTATGAAGAATCCATGTTGCTGATGAATCCATGTTGTTACAATCTATTTGTGAAGTCAAATGGATAAAAAATAAATTTAAAAAGATTAGATATAAAAATGATTCTGTTAATGCTGCTAAATGCCATTAATATATATTTTTATAAAGAAATAAAAATGCTGTGAAGTTATATTGAAAGTTTAGTTCATATGCCAAGTAAACATAATTAAAAAGTATATACAAATATACATAAAAAACCTGCATACTAAATATCTTGAACATAAACTTTATATTACCGCTTTATTTACTTATTAACTGATTAATACGATTAGTATGACGGTTCGTTGTAATTTGAGATTAAACCTTTTTTCAAAACTATGATCCAATTAAATTACGATTATTTATACTTCCCTTAAACATTTCGGTGTTCATGGAAACCAGGCTTTTTCTCATTCATTAAAAAATTCCGGGGAATTTATTTTTCCTCATTGTAAAATTCAAAACATCGTTAGTTGTGTTCAAAACATGGATTTTCTAATTAAAGCCGCAGATTTTTAACTTGCATGACAGTTTGTTTTACGTCAACTAATCAAAGTTTTTTTATTTAGCCTATATATGACTACACCAATATTGCCTGGTTATCTTTGTCCGGAATGTATTGTACGGTTTCCGTATGCCGAAAAGTTAGAAGAACATTGGAAAATCTTTCATAACCTTTCTGTTAATGATAAACCAAGAAGCTATCCATCTCTTCGCTACGCTGCTAAACACAACGGAAAAAATGCATCCTCAAATAAGGTTACATGAGATTTTACCTGCAATGTTTACCTAAGCTTATGAAAAAAAAATTATGAATTTATGGATTTTCAAGTCAACCAGAATACGAAATATAAATAAAAGATAAAAAAAAATTTAAAAGCACCCGAAATTGTTTTACAAGCAAGCTAAAGTGTTTTTAACTTACTTTTGTTTACTTTCAAATTTATAAACTCTTTTTTATCGTAAGATTCAAAGTATCAAAAACAAATTACTTTTGCCCAAATCTGTTTTCTTTTTTTGTTGTTATTTTAAAAGACCATTGTTTGAAACAAAAAGTTTATCTCGACGTCGGAAAAAGGTGGTAATTATTCTTATTTTTTTCTCAAAAAACATCAAAAATTCATTTTTTTAGTCGTCGCAGATGCTTCACAATTTTAAAACAAGACCAGTTAACAAGTATGCTCCCCAGGTGTGCCATCTTTGTCGTAAAATGGTTTGGAACTGCACCAAAGTTTGCTCAGGTGATCGAGTATTAAAGACTTTAATATGTTTTGTCAAAGTATTTTTTTTTATTATTTTAATTTTGTTGTACTTTTGTCTATTGTTTAGGATGTAATTTTACATGTCATGTTGAATGTCAGCCAATGGTAAGTGAACAACTTAAAATAAAACATTGTTTATAGATTACTTTTTCCGGCAATCATTTTTAACCGATTAATTGGGATTATAAACAATTTAGCAAAAAAGTTTTAAAATAATAAACATAGTTACCCAAAACGCGGCAACACGTTTTTTTTTTTACTTTTTTCTTTAAAAAAAATTTAATAAAAAAAACTTGGTTTATATATTCAAATTCAATTTTAGTTTGTACATATATCTCAAAAATTTTAACTAAATGAAAGAAAGTTATTCAATTCAACACAAATTTATATGCCTATATAATAAATATAATAATATAATAAACAAACCAAATGCAAGATTTTTGTTTTAAACTTTTTTTAAAACTTTTGTTTTATGTGATTTCTCTACATCCGTACCAGAGCCTGTATTTACAACAAAGAAAAGTTACGAAATTTTTTTAAAGAAAAATGGAACAATTATATGAAATGACACAATAAAAGTGTCGATTATTAGTTATTTTATATGCAGTCCATTTCGGTTCTTAATTTGGTTTGTATATTTGGTTCGTGCATTTGGTTTTTGGAGTTTTTCTGCCAAAGGCTTCTTTATCTGTTTGTACAATTAATTTCATTACAGTTCTTTTCAATGATTTCATACAATTCGATGATTCTTTTTCAAAAATCAAAACAAGGTGATAACCTGATTATTAACATTAAATCTATAGTAACAAAGAATCTAAAAACACCAAAGTATATAAATCATTTTTCATATTAATAAACATAAACCTAAACGAAAAAGATAGTATTTAAAAAAAAAAAAATTTAAATAATAAGAACTGTTTGATCACCAAGTATATTTTTCTGTAAATAAACGTTTGTGTTTTCGTTTGTGTTCCTCAGTTTCCTCTCGTGAGTTATAATTGGTTTCATTTCTTTAATTTTCATTTCATTTTTTTTTTTTACTCAATCATCAAATATTTAAGATTGGGCCATCAATCAATCAAAAAGGGGCATTACATTTTATTCTATTATTTATTTCATTAGATTATTATAAATTATAAATATAAAAGTAAGGAAATTATTTGATGGAAAAAAGTCATACTGTGAAACTGTTTTCTTTTTTCACAATTAAAATTTTATTTTGATTAGGTTCTCAAACATTGCTTGACACTAGAAATGAACACAGCAAAAAATCAAACTCAGGTATGCAAGGTATGCAAAGTTAACTTTTTTTAATTAATTTGTATGAGATAATAATACAATTAAAAAAAATTTAAATCAATTTGTATAAGATAATAATACAAAAATACTTTTTTTTTTCAATTAAATTGGTACCCAACTAATATTGGAAAATTATTTTTTCTGAGGTATATATACGCTATATATACGTATATATACGCTGAGGTTAATATCTGAAAAAAATAGTAAAATTATTTTCGAGGATGAAATTTGGCTCTAAATAAGTAAGCAACGGATGGACAAACATTTTAAAAATAATAAAAAATATAAAAATCTTGGGCCGTTAAGTTGGTAAACATATATTTAAAACTAACTTGCTATTTATTATCTGAAGCTCAATAAATGCTATAAATATTACCAAGTTATAAATGACAGATATGTAAAAGTCCTGATATAAGAACTACAACCGCAACTTAAATTAATCTAAACAAACAGTGTATAAAAATAGAGCAGCTTGGTTTTTTGACGTAATTTACACGTAAACGCTTTATATTATTTGAAAGTGCTAATACTAGCAAATATTCAAACTTTTTATATTATTTATTTTTATTTCGTTATTTTTATTTTATTTCGTTTATTTTTATTCCATTTCGTTAGAAAGAAGTCTTCCTTTTTAGTGTAGGTTAAAATTTTTCTGGAAATTTTCTTTTTAATAAGAAAAGTGGTTGTGCGCTAGTAGTTGATACCTGTCCACTTTATATTAGTTGATACCTGTCCACACTAAAATGCTGTGAAAAATTATAGAGAATTCTTACATTATAGAAAATAAAAGCATCGATAATCTTTTTTCCTTATCATAATTTATTATAACAGTGAAAAAAAAAGTAAATAAAATAAAATTGAAATATAGTTGTTAAAACAATAGATACTTTACTATAGGAATGTACCGGAATTTTCGTCTTTTAGATCAATTCGCTTGTGGCTTGAATTAATTTTTTTTTCTACTTTTTTTTTTAATGGCCTGTGATACAAGCTATGTAAATAAATAAAAAAAGTCATTATCCTACAAAGCAATAAAGAATTATACGTACACCGTGGTAAAAAATACAAATGTAATTTTTGCAAATGTATTTGCGGGTCTACTATTTCTGAAAATTAACTTACTTTTGTATTTTTCACCTGACTTAACTCTTACTCTGTACTATAATCATTTTTTTGATTTAATTTCACAGTCTCTTCTCGCTGTAATTAATCTAAAGATTAATGAAGAACTATAGTTAAGCCTAGGTGAAAAATACAAAAGTAAGTTTATTTTCAGAAATAGTAGACCTGCAAATACATTTGCAAAAATTACATTTGTATTTTTTACCACGGTGTATGTATAATTATTTATTGCTTTGTAGAATAATGATTTTTTGATTTATTTACACAGCCTGTATCACAGGCCATTAAAAAAAAAAGTAAAAAAAAAAATTAATTCAAGCCACAAGCGAATTGATCTAAAAGACGAAAATTGCGGTACATCCCAAGCTTATGGAAATATCTAATTTTTTTTTTTTAATTCACTTCCCTAAGTCCATAAGGAATTTTTCCGTAAGGAAAAAGAGGAAGGCTACTTTAGTTGTGGATACAACCCTCTTTCAAGTCTGAAATTAAAGAACAATATCTTCCTTTAAAGGTTTGGAAAAAGATCAAGCCAAAAAAAATGTTGCTGAAAAGTTTATTATTCCTTAAAACACTTTAACTTAACGGATAAAGACATGATCAACAAATATGAGTCAAGTTAATTTGAAGCAAGAGACAAAAGCTAAGATTTGGAAAACATGACTTCAATGATAAAGCTGTATACAATGGTTTATGACCGCACATGAAAAAAATGTATTTATTGGTAGATAAATCATAGAGAGACAGGTATTAGTTTTGCAAAAAAACTCAACATAACGGGTTATAAGGCACAGAGGAAATGAAAGCAAGTTAGTAGCAGACTTAATTGCCTACAATTCTCTTAAGATATAAATGGATGAATATTTACAAAACTGATAAATTTGGTTTATTTTATCAACAGTTTTCAACGAAATCCATTCATCCTAATAACTTCCAGAAATTAACCAAAAGACCAGGGTTATATAAGTGTATTGAAGGCTTCCTATGGCACAAATGTTGTCAGGAGTCAGATCAAATGCATCTGGTGGTGCCGATAAAATGTTTCTAGTATAACGACCCCAAAATCAACATTCTTAAAGTTGGTCAGATCATGGGACATTGTATCCGTAAACACTTTGAAGAATTGTTTTGAAAAGACATCTCATAGTAAAAACATATATCTCACAGTAAAAATATATAGCATGTATAAATGATAGGAGGATTCTTTCTAATTTCTTGGTTTAAATCACGTGGTTTAGCAGATAAAGGTATTGCTGCTTATGATTACTTAAACAAAAATTTTGAGATTTGTGAAAGTGAAATAATCGCTCTATTAGCAATAGAGTTACTTTAATATTGTTCTTTTTTTGACAATAATGGCGGCAATATCAGACAATCACAAAGCCTCTACCAAATATGTTTGATAAACCTTTTTTAGAAACATAAAAGCAATCGAAATGGACGATTGGAAATGGAAAAAATGTTGTCAAAAACGTTTTATTTTACAGTTAAAGACTTATACAACATCTTTTATTAAAGTTCTTTTTTTTTTTTTTTTTTTCTACTTTTGTTAATTTTTACTCTCTACTTTTGTTAAAATTTGAATAAGAGAACTTTTAAGAGAACTTTCAGTTATTCAAATTTTCAGTTATTTGAAGCAAGTTTCTTATTCCCTTAAGAGGTTCCAATAACAAAGAGTTTAGGGTAACTTAACATTTGTTCAATTTCACACGTCTTGTGATTTTGTAATTAACTTGGTTAAAAACTTTAAAAATTTATCTATAAAACAACAAACTGCTATTTATTTGACTCCAATTTTTTAAATTATAATCCTGGTTTACTAAAAAAAAATTACTTATGTTTGTTTATGTTAAATTGTTTATTTTTAGCACACTGTTATTGTAGTTTTATTTTTTTATTGCATTTCTTCCACAACTTTTATGAATTTAGGTCATTTACAAAACCTTTAAAATAAAAAATAAACAAACGCGCGGCTTCCAAAGTGTTTGTTTACCAAAAGATTTACAGTAATTTCGTGAAAATAAAGCCAAATTTCATAATTTATTATTACTATTTTTTTTAAATAAAAATAAAAATTCATTCAAATTTAAAAAATCTTTAAAGTGTTTAAATACTTTAAACAAAACAATTTTTTTACTTATAAATAAAAAAATTGTTTTTGTTTTTTATTGAAAGCATTATTTATCTAGAAAATAATATTTCTATATTCATCTCTTACCATGGCTTTTTTATTATCAATGTTATTTTGTTTTCTTTTTCTGGAAATAGATGTTTAAGTACAGAAAATATGTAAAAACAATCACCAGGCGCAAAGCCTCAAAAAAAAAAGAAAACATAATTAAAGTATAATTAAACATTTCCCCCCATGCTGTTGTTTACTTTATATGTCCCGCTGGTTTATTGAAAAAAGTTTGACAAAAAGTAGATAACGTTTTCAATGTTGAGCCAAATTAAAAATATACTTTTCATTTATGTGCAAATTTTTTTTTAAGTTAATGTAAAAAAGTACTAATCTAAAAAAATTTTAAATCATATTTATTTACCTCAGAAGACAAAGGTCGGTTGTCCAGCTTTTTGTGAAAATGAGTTATGTATGAGACCTTTTTATTTTTTTTAGTATCTACACAGAGGTATAAAGACTGTTGTCCTACGACAATGTAAAACAAAGTTAGTTACATAAAATTAACCATCAAGAATAAGCCAAATAAAGACTAATTATTTTCCTCTCTCCTGAACAATTTATAAAATGTGACAACCTTTGACTTCTGAGGTACAGATTTAAATTCCATATTTATGTTTAAGGCCCGCAAGACAAATTCAGCTCCTTAATGAGCTTCATAACCGTGAACACAACTTCTTCTTTCTTTCACTCTATTATACCTTCGTTCTTACCAAAATCACTTTACTCTTGGTCCGTATAGTGGATTATGATGCTCCTTGAGGAGCTGAAATTGTCTTTGAGGGCCTTGGTAATGTGACCTATATATAGCAATTAGCCGGTGGAGGAAAAACTACATTACCAAGTCAATATACGTAAGTCGTGTTAGAAAGATAGCATAGAGAAAGCGGAAAGAAATTGGACACGATGTTAGAAGGTGCAACACATACTGTTACAGGTCACTAAACTAATGTACGCGGATAAACACAAATAGAACTGTTAGTGTTTTGTGCTTTTTTCTGTTTTAATTACTTGCTTAATATTTACTCTAGTGTTATCTTTTTTTGCATCTTCACTTAGGATTTGACAGTCTGATGTGTTCCAAATAGCGACTAGACTTTTGCTCTTGTTGTTTTTTTTTATTAATATTTTTCTAATATAATCACTTCTTTCCTCTCAAAAGTGTTTACGGCTAAATGTGTTCCATTAGTGACTAGACTTACTTGTTCTAGTTCCAAACTTTATACAAAATCATATAAACTAAATGTAAATTAAGTATAAACGAACAACTCTATTAAATCATTTAAATTAAATATGAAACAAGAAACCGCATTATATTACCTTTACTTTTGCTCACCAGTGTCAATAATCACATTACGCATAAAATTCTGTTACCATTTTCGCTGGGTTTCAAAATAAATATGCAGCCCATGAGGGCAACAAGTTGATTAAATATTATTTTATTTTTCTCAGCTAAATTTATATTCATTGATAAATTTGAAATTCCATATTTTTCAAAATTTATAACTCTCAAATTTAGGGTTAAAACTTTATATGATCTTTGATCGTTAAAAGATTATTTTATGAAATTTAATATTTATTAATAAAAAAGTTCAGAACAGTATAAACATATAATGCTTGGCTTTATATCTGGAAGCTACCTATCTCAAACACCAATAAACGTTGCATCCGTCCCTATTTATAATTGTAGATTTTTTTTATACGACTTTAAAGTTGTTACATAAAAACAAATTGCATTTGAAGAAAATATTTTAGAAAGATCAATTTTTTAAACTCTGTTTTTTAAACTTTATTTCTCCCTTTTTTAGTAATTTTTACTACGAAATAATTTTTTTCACTTACTTTATGTATCAATATATTTTTATTTAAAGCAATTTTTTATTTTTAGCCTCATATATTTTTGAATTCTTCATCTGAAGCATCATCGAGGTATATTAGCTTTAACTTTTGTTGTTACAAAGTAATTCTGCTATATATATATATATATATATATATATATATGTACATATATATATATATACATATATATATACATATATATATATATATATATATATATATATATATATATATATATATATATATATATATATATATATATATATATGTATGTATATATATGTATGTATATCAGTGACGGATCCAGGAATTTTTGGTGGGGGTGGATGTTGAAATATTTTTGCATTTTGTACCATATTTGCGCAACTTGAAAATAAAAAAAACGTTCCTCACTTTATAGGACTTTCAGATTCTGGTGGGAGAGGATACATACCCCTCCCCCTAGATTCGTTGTTGATATATATATATATATATATATATATATATATATATATATATATATATATATATATATATATATATATATATATATATATATATATATATATATATATATATATATATATATATATATATATATATATATATATATATAATAAATAGTCAGAAAACTGATTACGTTGAAATCTCAAGATGTATGCAATGCTTTTTATTGTTTTGTAGCAAAGAAATAGCATGCAATGATTGCGAACTAGATTTAACTTACATAACAGATCAACTTATAGGTATTTCGTCATTTTTTTTATGTTTTGTTAAGTTATTCTTTGTTTAAATTAGTTTCACTTTTTTATAATTTATTATTTATATTATTTATATGCTAATTAGAAGAACTTATTAAATATAAGTGTGTGTGTGTGTGTGTGTGTGTGTGTTTGTGTGTGTGTGTGTGTGCTAGATACAAAGATTAGATATTTTAAAAAAATGCAGATATTTTGATAATTCTTTATCATATATAACTAAGATATTTTGTAAAACAATTATAAAAGTAATAACAGTTTTATTTTAGCTCTGACGTTTCCATCAAACAGCTTTGAGAAATTGTACAAATCTGGCCTAATAGATGTTCTGGCCTTGTTACGTAAAAAACATTGTGAGCAATACAAAATCATTAACGTCTCAGAAAGACGTTACGATCTTCTTCAATTGCATTCTGAAAAACAGGTAAAAAATATTTATATAAGGAAAAAAAATAATAGTTTTAGTATGTTAACATACTGTTTCATACAAAAAGATGTAGACCCCAAAACTTTTGTATGTTTGTACTTATTTCATTTGAGGAAGTTTGGTCAAAAAATGCGTTGGTTAAAACAAGGAAAACAGGGACCAAAATGCTGAAAAGTAGACATCATCAGCCTAAATATAGGCAGTATTGCTTATTCAATTTATGAATTCTGTAATTTTTAACAGTTTTTGAACGGTATTTTTATGCTGCAATTTTTGATTCTTTTGTATAAAAAAAACTTCCAAAGAGTTTAGAATTGATAGTTACTTAACTCAAATACAAATTCTTCTAAATAAAAATAAAAATAAAAATATAGACTCTTCTAAATAAAAATATAGATTGTTCTAAATAAAAACCACGCAGGTTTTTAAACAAAAAATTTTTTCAACTCTAAAAATTAACTTTTAAGGTAAATGAGAACAAACATTTAAACCAGTTATATAATTAATTGCTGAAACTATATAATCCTTGATTGACTTCTGCAACCAGTTATATAATTCATTCCTGATATCTCTAATTCTTTTAGTAAATTACAGTATTACATAAGTTATTTTTTATTAAATAATCAAAAGTGTAGAACCCCGAATTGTTTTGACACAATTTTAAAAGTATTAAACTCATTTATTTTACTTTTATTTTAGTTCCCTCTCACGCTTGGAGTTAATTAATTTTTCAAAGTTTTAATATCAACATATTATTTATTAACTTAGCTAACATTTTTAAAGTTTTAACATCAACATATTATTTGATAACTAACATTTTATTTACAAAGAAGAGTAACAAATAAACGTTTGTAGAAATAAATATAAATAAAAAAATGTAAAACCCTGCAATAAAATCTTTAAATATTATAAATAAGCTAAAAAAATATGGAATAAAATGTAAATTATTAAAAGTATATGAAAGATGGAAAAAAATTTATTGAATTTTTTGTCAAAGCATCACGGAAATTTAAAAAAGGTTTAAAATTGAAAAGTGCGTCTTTACATGTTCAATTTAACTCGTTCCTCACCATCTGATTATTTAAATAAATTTTTAAAAACTTACTATAAAATGATTTGTTTAAAAAAACCTTCGGCTCTTAAATAAAGCTTTTTTCAGGCTTTTAGATATTTTTTGAATAATACTTTAACCTCAAAGAACATTAGTTTAAAAGTTATTGTTATGAAATATATTTTAGGTTTTAGATTGTGGTTGGCCAGATCATTTAGCTCCCCCGCTCGATAAACTGACGAAGTAAGTTTCAAATAAAGAATTAAAAAAAGTATTTTTTTTGTGTGTAGTGGTTAGCTAAATTAAAACCTTTTGAAATGATGTTTTTTATAGAATTATTCAACATATACATGGATGGATGCAATTAAACAAAAAAAATGTGGCAATTATTCATTGCAAGGTTTGATTCAAAGTTAGGTTTTTAGGGATTACACGGTAATTTTGAATCCCTCAAAATTTCAATGTAAACTTTTCAAACTTATATCTTGAACAATAGTATAATTTAAGGTATTTTCAAACCTAATGATCATTATTTTATTATATATAGTTTCATTTTTTTTTGTAGAACTTTTATTTGGTTTTTAAACTTTAACAGTTCTTTTAATTTAACAAAGTAGCAATCATCAAGCAATATAAGTTCACAATTTTCTTATTATACAGGGAGGCAAAAGTCGCATTGGATTAATTGTAGCTGCTTACATACAGTTTAGCAAAAACGTTCCGAGGTAACTCTTATAAAGTTTATTGCGCCATTTAAACTTTACCCAGTTTAATTTTTATATCATGTAATTCGAGTGATAAAATTCCAGAACTAAGGGTTTTTAATTTTTTTTCTGAAAAAAACATAGCAAGTTTTAACAAAGAACACCGTAACATGACTGTCATTTAGTAAAGTAGTTTGCAATGAAAAACCTTTAAAATCGTAAAGATGGTCTTAGAAAGCGAAGGCCTTAAAAGCGAAATTGATGAGAAAGACTGTGAAGACGTATTTATTAAAACCTTTAGTGATCTGCAACAAGAACAATTAAACACCTAAATATTAAGAAAAAAAAAGAATAATAAAAATGTAAATAGTCAAATGCGCAAAATATATTCCTATTAATTTTTATAAATTGTTTTAATGGTTTATTTAAAGTAATTTTTTTTTAATCGATTTAAAGTGCACAAATTGCTTTTGAATGGTTTGCTTTGGGAAGATTTTACGATGCAAAACTCGATGGAACATTACAGCCGTCTCAAAAACGGTAGTTAATTTTTATACTTCATTTTTAACTTAAATGTGTATTTTAAATATATACTTGAATAATTTAAGCAAAAATAAAGTAAATGTTTAACAATAAACTACTGCTAAATAAATGGCTCGCGATTAGCTCGCGACATTTTTAACATTTGGCAACCTTGCCTAACCCAAAATACACAAAGTTATAAACGGCTAGCTTCGCCGATGATACGGGTTTTGAAGTGGAGGAGCAATTTCTAAAAAAAGTCTTTTATATTTAAAATTTTCTTATTAAAAAAAAAATTGTGGGAGGGGGACACATGACCGGCGGGTATTATATATGACATATTAGCGGGTAATAGTAAAGTGGTTTAAAAAAAGGTTTTAAAATGGTTTTATTTCAACCTATATAAAATTAGGGTAACAGGGGGTATTAGGCCCCATTTCCTCTGTTCATATAATGTAATGGTTGGTGTTATTGTATTAAGAGGGAGGAGCACTAACCTCTACGTGATAGAGACTAACTAACCAATAAGAAAAATTTTCTTAACCATTCTGGAGTTTCTAACCAATGCCATTGATGTTTAATTAGAATTTATAGATGAGTGGTTTATCCATCCAGTTTCCAGTTTCCTTCAAACTTGATGAAAAACTTTAACTAAGCCGTGCTTGTTTGTTTTGACTTGAAAAATTCTTTATACATTAAAATTTTTGTATTTTCCATACAAATACAAGTGCATATAAATAAGGTATTTTTTTTTAAATTTTTTATCTATCTGTGTATGTTATCAATGAGTTGAAATACTTATATTTGTTGAGCAAATGAAGGTAGAAATTTTTGCAAAGTAAAATGGCTGTTGGATAAATGTCTAAGAGATTGTTTATAAATAGCTAAATTTCTAAAATTCACTTTAATAATAAATTTCTATTTAAGACTTTAAATGGATAGTATTTCTAAGAGAAATATGGTTGTGTTAAATATTAATTAGTTTAATTAATTTAAAAAAACAATTGTTTTAATTAACAGGGGCTAATGCCCCTGTTAATGCCAGGTATATAAAAACGGGATTAACACAACCAAATAACATTGATCAGATAAATAAAATTCATGTTTTTATTTTATAAACATTACACAGATATAGTTTAAGTTGAAAAAAAAAAAATTATTTGTAGAAATAGTTTAAATTTTTCTTTAAACATAGTTTTAATAATGGAGCTTATTGCCTTCTTTATTAAGCAGAATGGTTCGGACATTCAAAAAGAATAAAAAAGGAGGCAAGAAAATTTATGCAACTAAATATCAGACAATGACAGATGCCTACAATTCTGTTAAATGTAAGCAGATGTCTGCTAACCAGGAATCCAAGCACTATTAAAAGTACTTTCCAGCACTAGTGCTCACAATACTTCTGCCTTAACATCACTACTACGCAGGGCCGCCGAGAGGGAGGGGTCACCGGGACAGTTTGTCCCGGGCGGCAGATATTTAAGGGGCGCCAAATAAAGTTTAGGTTAAAAAAATAAAAAAAAAGAGGTCCTTCATATATAATAAAGGAAAAATTTGATAAATAAGGGCGCCAATCAGGATTGCTGTCCCAGGCGGCGTGACAGCTTTCGGCGGCCCTGCTACTACGTGTATTGCTGTTATCATCATTGCCATCAGCAGCATCATCAATAGAATCATCACCCTTTATCTTAAGCACCCGCAGAAAGACCACAGACGCCATTGTCTACTTCATTTTCAGAAAAGTTATTTGTTAAAGATTTTTTTCTCAAAGAACTGCAACCCAGGTGATGAATGTTTAAAGCGACTGAGAGAAGAAGCAGCAAAAAAGATAAAGCTCCAATTAAAAAGATCACAAGAAAAAAAAGAAATCTTCTAGCCGAAGATGATAGGGACAGTGATAAAGATGACGACACTGTGTCTATAGCGTGGTATTCACAGAGGTCAAAGAGAAGAGGTCAAAGGAAGCCAAAGACTGGATCTGTGAAAAGTGTCTAAAAATGATGCAAAAATATGTTTTTCATAGTGGAGCTTGTCCCCATATTTTAAAATTTGAGTCGGCGTTTGTTGTAACTTTTTAGATTTTTTTCATTATATGACGTTTAAGTTTTGCTGGATAAAGCTTTTGTACATATAGAAATATATGTTGTCTATAACTAAAAAATATTTCCAGTTTGAATTTAATATTTATTAACTTATTCCAAAGAGAGAAAGAAAAAGTTCTTGAACACATGGGGCTAAATGCCCTCTATTATCCAAATCAAATATAATCAATTTTAATTTATATATTTATCACTTATGCTATAATTTATTATTTTTAACTTAGACGCAATATAATTTTATTTTCTTTTGAAATATAGATATGTTAAGTACTTCGGCATGTTATTTGAAAAAAAGCTGAAGATTAAGAACAGGTAATATTTTTTATACTTTTAAATCACAGGACGTCTGAATTAGAAAACCATTGTTAAAGATCATCTTAATACGGGTTCAAAAGACAACATGAAAAAAATTTACACGGCTCAAAGAACGTTATAAGATTTTTACAGGTACATGAAGTAATCAAGGGTCATGCTAGGTGATCTTGTTTGAAATGTAAATGCTGAGTGATCTTGTTTGAAAACTAAATAAAACCACTTCTTAGGTTTTTTCAATTAAAGTTTATTTGTTTTTGATAGACCAACTAGGGGTACCAAAATGTTATAACTCTAATGTGTTCTGTTACTTATATGTAAACAAGCTAATGTTTTCCTTCAAAGTTAGGCAGTACTCCACTGGCAGCACGTGTCAAGATAACTGCGTTTGTCAAAATAAAATAAGGCCGCTAATAAAAAAATTATAACGTATGATTATAATTATTTTGATAAATAAAACTCTGTTAATCTTTATAATTTTTGATTAAAAAATTACAAATTTTTTTTAAATAGGAAAGTTGTTGAAACATGAATTAAATTTTATATCATGTTAAAATTTAAATAAAAACAAAGAAGTTGACAAAAAAAAAATATTTTAACAATATTAAATTGATATATCAATTTAAAAAAAAATTAAGTTGATATAATGTGATATTTATCTATCATTGGTAGATATATCGTAGGCTAATAATAAACGAATATTAGATAAATAAATCAGGAATATATAATTGGTTTTCTCTACTTTTACATTTTAGAGAAGAAGAGAGTTTTATAATTTGAGTGAGTGAGTTTTATAAATTATTTAAGCTTCTTTCTCTATACAGTCACAGAAACCCTTTTAACCGGCGGATAAGTTTAAATTATAAGAAACAAAACTTTTGTTTCTTAATGTTCTTTTTTTTTGTTGTTTTGTTTTTTATTTTATTTTAAAATTACAATAACCACAGTATTTTTGTTTTTATTGTTTAAAATTTTGTTTTTGATTACTATACTGAAGGATACTACATTTAAATGCAATCATCATTCACGGCACACCATGTTTTAATGAAGGCTTAACGTTTCAGTTCTGCTTAAAAATTTATCAAGGCTACCAACTTATACACACTACCTCCACACAGTAAGAAATATTTGTTTATTTTGACGTTAAATAAAATTTTTTACAAATTAAAAAAAAAAAAAAAAAGTAATAGCCAGGAAGAAGACGTCAGACGTCAGACGTCAGTCTGTTTTACTCGTGAGCTTGTTAAGATATTTTTACTAGAAGTGTTTTTTAATGCAGTATATAATATCGGATCAGCAATAACATTCAATATAATATAAATCTTAAATAATTATTTTTTTTACAATTTCATTACTTATAATTACTTACTACTTATATACAAAAATATTTTAGAAATCTTAAAAAATGTAACAATTCTAACCACTGCATTTTCTGATAAAATATTTAATTGTAACTTTTACATTTATCATAAAATAACATTTTTTGTGCTACCATAAAATTTTTATTATAAAAAAAAAAGTTAAATCTTTAAAATTAGGCTTATAAGTAACTTAAATGTAGACTTATGAGTAACTTAAATGTAGACTTATAAGTAACTTAAATGTACACTTATAAGTAACTTAAATGTACACTTATAAGTAACTTAAATGTAGACTTATAAGTAACTTAAATGTACACTTATAAGTAACTTAAATGTAGACTTATAAGTAACTTAAATGTAGACTTATAAGTAACTTAAATGTAGACTTATAAGTAACTTAAATGTACACTTATAAGTAACTTAAATGTAGACTTATAAGTAACTTAAATGTACACTTATAAGTAACTTAAATGTAGACTTATAAGTAACTTAAATGTACACTTATAAGTAACTTAAATGTACACTTATAAGTAACTTAAATGTACACTTATAAGTAACTTAAATGTAGACTTATAAGTAACTTAAATGTACACTTATAAGTAACTTAAATGTACACTTATAAGTAACTTAAATGTAAACTTATAAGTAACTTAAATGTACACTTATAAGTAACTTAAATGTACACTTATAAGTAACTTAAATGTAGACTTATAAGTAACTTAAATGTACACTTATAAGTAACTTAAATGAACACATATAAGTAACTTAAATGTACACTTATAAGTAACTTAAATGAACACATATAAGTAACTTAAATGTACACTTATTAGTAACTTAAATGTACACTTATAAGTAACTTAAATGTAGACTTATAAGTAACTTAAATGTAGACTTATAAGTAACTTAAATGTAGACTTATAAGTAACTTAAATGTAGACTTATAAGTAACTTAAATGTACACTTATAAGTAACTTAAATGTAGACTTATAAGTAACTTAAATGTAGACTTATAAGTAACTTAAATGTAGACTTATAAGTAACTTAAATGTAGACTTATAAGTAACTTAAATGTAGACTTATAAGTAACTTAAATGTAGACTTATAAGTAACTTAAATGTACACTTATAAGTAACTTAAATGTACACTTATAAGTAACTTAAATGTACACTTATAAGTAACTTAAATGTAGACTTATAAGTAACTTAAATGTACACTTATAAGTAACTTAAATGTAGACTTATAAGTAACTTAAATGTACACTTATAAGTAACTTAAATGTAGACTTATAAGTAACTTAAATGTAGACTTATAAGTAACTTAAATGTACACTTATAAGTAACTTAAATGTACACTTATAAGTAACTTAAATGTACACTTATAAGTAACTTAAATGTACACTTATAAGTAACTTAAATGTACACTTATAAGTAACTTAAATGTAGACTTATAAGTAACTTAAATGTAGACTTATAAGTAACTTAAATGTAGACTTATAAGTAACTTAAATGTACACTTATAAGTAACTTAAATGTACACTTATAAGTAACTTAAATGTACACTTATAAGTAACTTAAATGTACACTTATAAGTAACTTAAATGTACACTTATAAGTAACTTAAATGTAGACTTATAAGTAACTTAAATGTACACTTATAAGTAACTTAAATGTAGACTTATAAGTAACTTAAATGTAGACTTATAAGTAACTTAAATGTAGACTTATAAGTAACTTAAATGTACACTTATAAGTAACTTAAATGTAGACTTATAAGTAACTTAAATGTACACTTATAAGTAACTTAAATGTAGACTTATAAGTAACTTAAATGTACACTTATAAGTAACTTAAATGAACACATATAAGTAACTTAAATGTACACTTATTAGTAATTTATATTATAGTTATAAAACAAAAGCGGCAGTGGTGTAGCGATAGGATCGCTCGCTTCATTAGCGAGAAATTTCGAGTTCGATCCTCAACTACAGTTGAGGAGGCAACTTTTTTAATGTTTACACTCGAGGGGAGTGTAAACATTAAAAAAGTTGCCTCCTCAACTGTAGTGGCCCTCTCGGCCTCAAGGAAGTGAGTTAACTTTAAAAAAAGAGTTACATGAAAACAAGGAGTTATAATAGCGTAGCTGGAGGAAAAACGGAGTTAAAATACGTCATTTCTCAAAGAACAGTCTTAGTAGTAACATAATTTTCAATTAAACACCGCGGAATTATCATACTTAAAAGTTAACCAATCACATTCCACTTTTAACATAAGCTATCTTTCTAATGATATTGTTTCATAACGTCATAAGTAATTAAAGAATTGCAAATAAAAAAATGGAAGTTTAGAAAATTTATAAACAATAATTTAAGTCAGTTTGTTGTTATTTTATTGTTATGCTTTTTTAACGACTAATAATAAATTTCTAGATTAGAACTGAATTGATAAATGTCTAGATAAGAATTGGTAGTATTTTTGCCATGTATTTTATATCTCTTTACATTTTTGCCATGTATTTTATATTTAGAATAAAGCAATTTACAGCAAAAATACTCCAAGACAAAATAAAATCCTGGCGGGATTTAATAAGTTCCTGACCAAAAGAACAGTCTTAAAGAACGTAACTAACCTATAGCTGAACAGGCAAGCAAAAAATAAGGTTCAAATAGGTAGTAAAGATTGTCTAAAACTTTGATATTTGTACCTATAATTGAGGTACGCAAAAAACAATAACTTCACCTTAATCGTGATTTTTGTTTTAATTAACTTCTTGATTGATCAGTTGTTAAAAACATATCCAACAAACTTTTATTTTATTAATCCATTTCGATTACAACTCTCAAAGCTTGCTGCTTACATTTCAAAATTTTCCATTTTTTTGCAAAAGCGACATTTTGACTGGCTACAGGAATAATTATATTACCGAGACTGTAACACGATTTAAATCCTTTTTCGGCTTCGTTCTCCCTCCAGCTAAGCTATTATACCTCCTTGATGAAACTAATGAAATAATTTACAACAAGCTTAAAAATATATTAATAACATATCAATAAAAGTTCCAAAGAAGTATTTTCAAATAAATTTATTTTAAAATAAAATATTTTTATAGAAACTTAGTTTAAACTTAGTTTAATTCGTTCTTAAAATTAAAAAAAAAAAAAATTGAAAATATTCATAATAATCAGTTATTGAAAATAATTTAAAACTATTTCATATTTGTTCATAATTGTTTAAATACATTTTTTCTATTTACTAGGGTTGAAAATTTTTCAGAAATTTTCAACTCGGTAAAGTTTTGGAAATTTTGGAAATTTTCAAGAAAATATAAGTTATTTTATAGGAGGAAGGAGGAGGGTGATAAATCCGAAAAAGTACCGATTTGTTTATTAAAAATACTACTATTAATGAATAATTTTAGAAAATAACTTCAACAAAAAAAGACAGCGGTTGTGAACCAAGTAAAAAGATAACTATATTACAATTCGAAATATTAAAAGTGTTTTCTGAATATCTGGTCGGATATATATGGCTTGTTTCATTAAGATAAGATTAAAATATTATTTAATAAAGTCCATTCTTTCTAAGCTGTGCATAAACTGAAAAACACTTAACGTTATAGTTAACTTTATTTGTTTCCTAAGTGAATCTTGTTAATAATACAAAGTTTATAGTTAACTTTATTAGTTGCTTAAGTTGTTCTGCATTTGTAATTGCATTTTTTAAAATTTTAACATTTTTATTTAAGCAATATTTCATCTGACTCAAAGCATGTGTGCTTTTTAACCCAAAATACAAAAGTACAAGGTGACGTCATGGTAAGACATTATTTTTTAATAAATTTTCTTTGCAACAAGGCAGCAAGCAAAGAGTATTAAAGTTGGAAGTAAGCTAGAAAAAAAGTGAGTTAAAAAGCAAAAAAGTTACGGTAGATGAAAAAAAGCTGTAGAAATTAATGAATAAGAAAAACATAAAGTGGGACAAAATCCCAAAGTATTGGTGCTTTAATACATAAACCTTAAAAGTTGCTATTTTTTAAATGGATTATAAAATTTTTTATTAAAGACCAGTAAACATTAAAGTACAAGACTCAGTTTCCATTTTTTTACTAATTCTGCATTTTTTTTAATAGTATAGATATTTTGTCATGTGTACACATTGTTTACACATTGAACGTTGTTTAATAAAGCATTTAATTTTTATTATTATTTTTTTGTTGGTGGTTTATTTATTACTTATTTATTTAGATAAAATGCATTCAAAAAGATGCTTCGATAAATACTTTAATTTTTCGAGTACAATTTCACACTGATGCCGTTGATAATTGTGTCAGTTTATTTGGAAAATATGATTTAGACGAAGCGTTCTGTGGTATGTGCATTAATGTTATTGTTTTTTTTATAAAAGCTCAATAAAAAAATTATTTTTAAAAAATATAAAATTAAGACAATATTGATTTTGAAAATAAGATTTACTAAACAAATATGTCAAAAATCAAAACTTAAATAAAATACAGTCTTGTAGTATAGAATGCTATAGATGGTGTGAATAAAATACAGTCTTGTAGTATAGAATGCTATAGATGGTGTGAATGAATGATTACTGATTGTACACAATCAGTAATCATTCATTCGCACTATCTATAGCGTTCTCTATAACAAGACTGTATTTTCATTAATTGAAAATTTAGTCTTTTAAAATCAGCAGAATGTAATTTCATTGACAATCCAATGATTTTATTAAAATCAATGGGTTGCAACCTAATTTCGTTTTGTCGTAATTTTTTAGACTTTTGAGCATGCCCAGTGGACACAGAGCATGCATTGAACTCATGCTTTTAAAGGTATACCGTTTATTAAACGTTGTTCAGACGTGTGTGCCCACTGGGTACTATAAAGTGAAAAGAAAACAGAAAAATAGGCAATAAAAGTTGTAACAAGCAAGAGTAACATAACCGGGTTTCCTGTAACAGGCTGTAACAAGCAAAGAGTAATATAATAGAGTTTCTGAATCGCAGCTTTGTTTTCCTCACTCTAGCTTTGTTTATTTATTTTACTAAAAAAGTATCAATAGTGTTATTTTTTTTTACTCTAAATACAACTGTTGTTAATTTCATGTAAATTAACGTCAGTACCGGTCGGAAACAAAAATGTTGCCATTTAACTTCAAATATTTAAAAACTAATTTTTTAGATTGTTATAAGAATTAATGATAAAATAAGTAATTTTAATATGACTGTATTAATAACGCATTATAACACTTAATAACACTTTGCAAAACTTAATGTATAGGGGAAAGCGGGGCAACATGGCGAATGGGGCAAGATGGGTTTTTATATAACAACTCAACAAAAAATCTTAAAATCGGGTGAAAACGAAACTGTATTTGCATCTTGTATTTTAAAACACTAATTGGCTTTTTGAAATATTATTAACGCAATTTTATACACATAAGTTTACTTTTAGCGCCTAAAAAAAAATTCCTTACTTTCGGTTTCTCATAATGGATGGTGCCCTTCAAGTTTAACTTCTTTAGAAGTAATTTTTTGCAATTTGTGTTTATTTCTTTTTACTTTAGTTAGAGTTATTGGTAGTTTTAAAAATTTTATAAAATTGGAGGTAAAAACTGCATAATAAGTCATCTTGCCCCGGTCACGTGACCAGATGACAAATTTATGAACATTTTATTTTAATATTTATTTCAAATTGTTATATTTGCAAACTGAAAATTCATGCAGGCAATGAAAGAATTTAATAACATAAACATACTGAGAAAGTATTATGGCTTCACGACTTATAGTTTTGCAATAACTCAGGGCTTTCAAAACGTTCGCCATGTTGCCCCACTTTCCCCTATGTAGTAAGCAAAAGCTTGAAAGCATAAAAAAAGTTTGATAGACTTTGCGGAGCGTCTGTATTGCGGTGCTTATGGTAAGTAATAAAAATCACCCGGTTCTGGCTTCTTTCAGTTTTTGACTTGCATATGCAAACTAAAAACTTTATAATCTTTATTTTAAACAGGTTTATCAAAATATTTTAAAATAAGTAAAGTTTAAATTTAAAATATATATTTATAATTATTAATAAACAAAAATCTTAGTAATTTCAAAAAAAAAGGGTTTTTTTGAACAGAGTACACGTTGAACAGGTGAAGTTAAAACGTAAATTAAATTTTATAAAACTTTAAACTTTAAATATTTTACTCCTAAAATTTACTATACTAGTAATTTTTCTATGAAGTAGGTTTAGATCTGGTTAATTAAAAATTAAGTTCAAGTTTTATCTTTTTTTCTGTATTTAAAAAGGGTTTACTCTTTTTATAGTAACATTATCAGAATGTTATTTTGTAAGATTGATGTATTGTAGGGTTCTTGTTTACCTAGAATTTTTTTTACCAAAATTTTTTTTTTTTACTTTTTTGATAATATAAATCAATTCAAGTATACACTTTCTTTGTTATTTTTTTAAGATGCCAAATTTCCAGATTCTTGTTGTGTTGAACTTGTTTTTTCTCCGTCAGAAAAAGATGAAGGCGACCACAACAAAGAAAGTATTATATTTTTTAAATCCTTTTTTGTTTTGTTTGTATGATGTGCTTTAGACTAATAGCTTCTAAAATAGCCATATAAAATGATTTAAAGTTGATTAGTTACTTTATTGATTTATTTAATAGTTTAATATTTAATAGTAAAAACAGAAAAAAATATTTTTAAAATTGTTCGTGTTCCGACCTCAACTTGTTTTGTATCCACAGGCGATTCTAGGAATAAAATTAGTGGAGCAAACCCCTTAAAAGCACCTTTCTTTTTTTTTCAACATATGGTTATTGAAATATCCCAATGTTTATATTTTAATCCCCAAGTAAACCAATATATTACCTTTTTTTTTGAAGTTTTATTACTTTAGGATATATTATTAAGTAATACATTACATTACTACGCATGAAGTACAAATTAACATATGTAAAATAAAGCTTTGTATTTTTTTTTAAACTGGTAACAAACATGTGCTAAATTCATAACAACATAAACTTTATATTTTTACCATTGTAATTTCAAAACAAAAATAAAATAAAATACGCAGAATAACTAAACTTAATTGTATATTTTGTAATCAATGGCAAAACAAAATATTTTGTGATGAAGAAATTTTATTTGTCCTAACTCAATTAGTTGCGTTTATTTTAATATTTATTGATTCTTATAATTGCTTTTTACGAATATTTTAATACATATTTATCAACAGCTAAAGATAGGTTTTATTAATGCATTATAAAAGTCATTGATTTCCAGATGTAAAAATTTTAATTAAATTTAATTATATAAAAACTATGTATTAATTGAAATATATCCTGTAGAAAATTTTTATCTATCTTTAAGCTTTTAAGTCGGAAATTTAGGTATCTTTACAATTCAACATCTTTTAAATTAGCGCACACACACACTCACACACACACACACACACACACACACACACACACACACATATATATATATATATATATATATATATATATATATATATATATATATATATATATATATATATATATATATATATATATATATATATATATATATATATATATATATACAAATTAAATATATGTTTAACTTTTTTTTGAATTTCAAAAGAGTTATATGGTGTCATATTTTTTATTTGTTTCTTAACAATCATAATAGTACTAATAATTATTATAAAAATGATAACATTAACAATAATTATGGTAATAAAAATAACAATATCAACAACAACAATAGTAATATAAATATTATGTATGTATTTACACATATTTATATATTATAAGTTGACTATATACAATAAATTATTATATAAACATTACATATAGATATAGACTCTAATATGATAATACATGTTATATATACTTCAAGCATACTATTTGATGTTGAATGCATATTTATTGATTTTATACTATGTGTTATAAATATATTGGCTATGTATTTATAATGTATGTTACATATTATTATAATGAAAATTGTAATAAAATATAAGCTTAAAATAGTTTTGCATTTCTATAGAAATATTTTTTCGATTTTTAATTAATTTAGGATTATTACTATTCTAAATTGAACTTAATTCGAACTTAATTCGAACTTAATTTGAACTTTATTCGATGTATTAAATTTTCTTATATATATTATGTTACTTAAGATATTCGATGTATTAAATTTTCTTATATATATTATGTTAGTGTATATTATATTTTAATTATTATATAGAGAAATAATTATTTTTATGTCATTTAAAAAAAAAAAAGTTATTTAACAGTAAACAGAAAATGAAAATCTATGCATATAATAACCGATCTCTTTTGAAAGTTATGTGAAAGCTATGTCATGTGACTCAACATTTCAATATTTTAATCAAAAATAATGGTGGACGTGCCAAAAATAAGTATATATAATATCTCATAATAAAAAAAATTTCAATCAAAAATATTGTCTGCGACATGATATATTTGTATGATATTTTTTAGAAATATTTTTTAATAATAAGTTTAATAAATATAAATATTTGAAAGATATAAACCTTTGATATGCGGCGCTAAAACTAAAGTTTTTAAAATAAATAAAATCAAGTAAAGCCGAAGTAAAGGAGTAAAAAAAAAAAAAGAAAACGCTATTTAATAATATAAAAATTTCACATTAGCGTGTTATGTTCCTAAAAGGTATAAAAAGGTTAAAAACCAAAATTATACAATATTTTTTATACAGATGTATACAATATTTTTAAAGTTATTAAAAAACTTTTTTTAAGAAAAATAGCAATGCATAAAAAGATGGAAAACTTATTTCGATACTACTTATTGATAATTCTGGTCCATTACCTTGTTATTGAATAACAAAAAAACATCCTAAAAGTCATCATACAGTCGCAAACTAAATATAATATGTTTAAAAATGACATTTTGAAAAAAAATAAACATAAAGTTTATTATATTATCAAAAAAAGAATAAACAAATTTAAAAGATCCACTATTTTGTGAGTCTTTTTCCAGTTATTTTTCAAGATTTATTTAACCTTTTTTATTTGCTCTAAGGTGTTTTATTCTTAAAAGCTAAAGCATTCAACTTCGTTTTTTTAGTTCTGTTATAGTCTAATATACAAAGTTCTTCAGGCATATGTTTACTTCAATACCTCTTGTATACAAAGTTGCTTCTGTCATTAAATGAATAAATACGAAACTTGGTTACTATTATAACGGAGTTTCGTAAGCACAAATAAATCACAATATTTCCCATTTTAAAAGTAAAAAAAAAAAAAAATAGGTTCAAACTGGAATAACAAAAAGAGTTAACCATAAAAATTATATATATCAAAACTACTAATTTATATAGTAAAACAACATGGAAAAACGGTGAATGATCATTACCGTAAGATTAATTTTAAATTTATCTGTCAAGTTACTTTAACAAAAGATTTTTTAAAAATGCAAATTTTCTTTTAATTTACTTAAAAAACAAAACTAAATTTTAAAATAAAAACAAAACTTCAAGTGTTGACTCTCAAACAAAAGCAATAATTAATATCTTTGTCTTTTGGTATCTTCGCGAAAATTCGATTTGACACTCTACAAAATAACAACTATAGTTTTGTACCATTTTTACCAATGCTCTTAGTCTCTGTTTATTTGTTTGTTTGTCTGTGAGAATCAAATCTTGAAATCAATTTTAAGTCACTTCCTGATGATAGATTTCCTTCAAATTTTGCATACATACTCTTGCTTGATGACAATACAATATTCAATAATTAGTTTTGTAATAAGTCAATTAACTTAGTTAATTTTAATCAAGTTTACTTTTTATATGGAAAAAAGAATAATAATTTTAAAAATAAGTATATTGATTGTTTTCATACTTATACGCGCGTTTAGCATATTTGGATAAGGTAAACGGAGTGTCTGTGGATCGAGACCAGCACCATCCTGAACTTTTTTGTCTTTTTACACACGCATACAGCCGAATGTTAATAAAATAAAACAGTAATATCAGAAAAAATTGATTTTAAAATTTGTGTTTTAATAAGATATAAAAGCATTGGGTTTTTATTCATTTTTAATTTTACTTGTTACAAAATAAAATAAAAAAATTTATTTTATTTTGTATCGGTTATATTGAAAAAATGTTTTTATCTATTTCGTATCATACCGTGTTGAGTTGCAAATGTTACGTGAAAAGAAAAAATCAAGCTAATGTTAGCATTAAAATAAAAACACAAAGACTGGAGTTGGAAAAAACAATGAAGTAAGCGTTAGCACTAAGTTATTTATTGCTAGCGGTAAACATCAAATAAGAGTATAACTTTCTAAGTGTTTTAATGACATTTTGCAGTTTCTCTTTGTCAAAAAATACCGCACTCTTTTAAGGCAGCAACACTGTATTAGGACCTTATTATCGAATTACATAAAAATTGTATTAGTTTATTATGTTTTTAAAAAGTATAATTCTTTATGTGTCTCCGAAACAATTAGTACATTTTTTTAAAATGTTGAGAATGAATTTTTAGCAACAATTTTATAATACTAATATAACTAAAATAAGTATTTTGGAATCTCTCCCCCTCCCCCCAAAATACAACAACAACAAAAAATTTTATAACTTAATGTCATGTTTTGGGTGGTGCCAGAAATTGGTCACCTTGCAAAACTGTGAAGATAATAACACTGAATATATTTAAACACTTCGGATGAAGTTGAAAACGTTTTCTTTTAGTTGAGTGGCGTTTATTGGTCAATGCAACTAAAATAAATGTCAGCTTTCTCGCACATCTCAATATAATTCTAATTCTAGTTCAAAACAGCATGATGAAATAAGTTTATATTAATTCCAATTATCTTAATTAGTCTCATGCTATTAAAAACGTTCAGAACACTACGATTATTCTATCGGCTATTTCAAATCTGTTATTAATAAGTTCGTCTTTTATTTAAGATTCATAAAAAATGTTCAAATCTTCAAATTTTAGTTTGTGATAGTGACGAACAGTTGTAGAAACAAATGTGCCAAGCAAACATATAGTTGTTAAGAGATTTCATACAGAAATTTTTTTTCAGAATTTAAATGCGTAATATTTATGAAGCAAATATAAAGTTTCATTGTTCTGGTTAGTACTTTTTTAATTTTTTCTTAAATTATATCTTTAAAAAACAAAACAAAAACAATAAAAACTCTTTCAAGAAAAACAGGTTAGTTGAAACTCGCTTTTAGTAAAAACAGTTTGTCTTTTTTGTAGCGAGTAATACATGGAGAGGTTCTCCACTAACACACTAAATATTTGTCAGAATGTTGCCCCCCCCCCCCCCCTCCATCAACTATTTTATATTTTTACACTTTGTTAAAGTTGTATAAAGTCGTCTTACTTGAAAAAAGTACTTTTTAATTATTTCTTGTAAATTGTTTTTGCCATTAGCAGTGATGCTGTCTAATATCTTTAAAATTATATGCCAATTATGAGTCATAAAAAATTGTAAAAGTAAAAAATAAAAATAACAACAACAAAAATATTAATGCAATCTATAGTTTTTTTAAAATTGATATATTCTTTGATAGCACATTGCATGAGGGATTAAAACGTTGTAAAATGGTCAATGGAGGAGGCAAGAGCGTCAGGAGGTCCTGGAATCAACATTTCTGGAAAACTGTGGTTTACCAGCCCAAAATCCAGTGGGCACAGGACGTAAAAAGACGTCTTTTAAACGTCTTTTGAACGTTTTGGACGTCTTTTTACCGTTTTCTAAACGTTTTGGACGTCTTCTTAACGTTCAATAGACGTTTTATTTAGGTCCTGTGCCCACTGCGAAATCATCAAAATTTGAATTTTATTTTTATACTGACTTTAAAGATTTGTTTTGATATCTAATATCTGCATCTAAAAAGTAATAATTTAAAACTACTTAATAATTAACATAATTGAAAAACTACTTAATAATTAACAGAATTGAAAGACTACTTAAAAATTAACAGAATTGAAAAACTACTTAGTAATTAGCAGAATTGAAAAACTACTTAATAATTAACAGAATTGAAAAACTACTTAATAATTAACAGAATTGAAATACTACTTAGTAATTAACAGATTTGAAAAACTACTTAATAATTAAATGATAAAACAGAATTCATATTTTCATTTTCATAATTCACAAAGAATTTTAACTTTGTTAAAACGTGACATTGCATGCAACATGAATTCAAAATTATTTGCTATGTACAAAATTAGTGTTACAGTGATTTATATAATTTTCTGTGTTTATTAAAAATGATAAAGCCATCTTTGTTGGTGTTATCAAATAAAATCAAAATTTTGAGTCCAACAAAAATAATAAATAATTCAATTTAGTAGATTATATTTATGCTTAATTCACTTGAAATTTTTTGATTTCATTCGTTTTATCGCGAGTTTGTGGTCTTATTCGTTTAAATTCGTTTAATTTTATTTGTTTTATTGCGAGTTCGTGATCTTATTTAACAACATAATAGAGCCTGTTTTGTCTAATAAACTTTGTTAATAGTAGACCGTTCATTTTATTCCTGTCGTCAAAAACTGTGGTCGGAAGTTAAAACGAAAAGCGAATTTAAAAAAAAAGTTTATCCTCAGAAAAAAACACTTATTTATATGTTAATACCGATAAGATATCCTATTTGGGAAATAATATGGTAATTGGAGATGGTGTTTAAAAGTTTTTAAATGTAAACTCTTAATTCTTTAATCAAACAATGATAATCAGAAATAAAGTAACAACATTGTATTAGCGATTTAATCTTTTATTTTTTAAAAACGTATCAGCAAAAAGGGGTGTTAAATCACCGAGTAGTAGAGTTTTTATTATTTTGTTAAAAGTTTAAAAAAGAGATAGTTCAGTTTGGTAAAATATGTTTAAAAACGAAATATCCAAATTAAAAAATGAATTTTTTTAAGGTTATGAAGTTTTTAGTTTTATGAATGGGTTTACGGCTACAACTGTGAAGCAAAACATTGTTCGAATACTTTTTTTTTTTTTCTTTTTTTAAATCTGCCGAGACTTAAAAGTAAAAGAAAAAATTTGTTTCAAATTAAATTGAAAGATATGATCAATGCAAATTATAATTCGGAAAAACAACAAAATCATACGTTTATTTCGTGGCTTTTTATACCAAATAGCTCCAAAAAACGAGGTGAGGGCTACTCAATTATATATATATATATATATATATATATATATATATATATATATATATATATATATATATATATATATATATATATATATATATATATATATATATATATATATATATATATATATATATATATATATATATATATATATATATATATATATATATATATATATATATATATATACATATATATATATATATATATACTTTTATACTTCAAATTCGTAATAATCATTTTTACTAACATTATTTATTCGTTGTAAACTTGTGTCTTATAGTTACTATTACATAAAAGAGAAAAAATAATCTCTTAAACTCTCGTATTAAAAGTGATTCATTCGGTAAACTTTGAAAAGCAAATTGTTATTTAATATTTCGCGTTATTAATCCTAATTAATTAATAATTATTTACGTTGAAATTTATATAATCCATATGTAGTAAAGCATAATTGGACTTATAATGTAATATTTTGATACGAAACATTTACCAAAATCAAAACTAATCTATAAATTTTTCATGTAAGTTGCTGACAATAACACATAGGAAACATATTTTGTTGAAAAGGATGTGAAATTTTATAACAAAAATTAAGAAAGGAAATCCAGAAAAGTATAAAAGCGTAGACTACATTAGAATATCATCTAAGAAACTTGTGATAAAAACAAAAAGTTTATTTCTTATAACCTGCTCATTATCTGAAATTTCATTATTATTACATTTAATCAAAGATGTTTTGCGAAACGCTTAACAATATTAAACTTTTAATATAATAGAAATTTAACTTGATTTAGGAAACAATGTTATGAATTTTTATTTATATTGATTGTTTAACGGAAAAATATTTTGACATAAAAATTTCTGTTTTTTCTGAAAATCAAGCTTCAAATAAATGTGTTTTAAAATAGAGTTGACATAACGTTAGTTTAGAATAACGTTGATAAGCTATCATATATAGAATTATGATAATCTGTTGTTTTTGGAGCAAATTCACCACCGATTACGCAATACCTCTCCCCACAGTTTAGTGGGAATATCTCTTTTGTAATATAACATTTTTATTATTATTATTATTTTGATTATTATTATTATTATTATTATTATTATTATTATTATTACACATTAAAATGCATGACTGTATAAAGATAGCTTTCTGTTGTTGTTGTTGTTGTTTTTTGTTGTTGTTGTTGTTGTTAATGACTACAAAAATTTAAAATAAATTTTGACAAAAAAAATTTCATCAATGGTAATAAAAACACAATAGGCCGGGAAAATAAAAAAAAGTAATTGCTTTTACTCAGCGTTTTTAGAATTATTTACGCGAATAAAAATTTGGGCGATTTTCCTTAAATTTTTATTTACGTAAAGCTGAGCAATTACTTCAAAAATGCTGAGTAAAAACAATTTCTTTATTCACCCGGCCTAATATTACATAAATTTATGATCTTTCAGTACTATTTCTTAACTTTGTAAAGCTTAAGAAGTATAAGTCACAAATACGCTATAAAGACATAAATAAAATATCTATAACTCTAAAATTACAACTCCTATTAGTTAAATTCATTTCATTTTGCTCCAAATAGTTTAATTGACATCAAACAAACCGATCAAAATAATATTTTTTATCATAACTAATTAGCTAAAAAAAAATAATGGTCATACAGCCATAAAATGACTGCGTGTTGTTAGATTTAAAAAAGTCTATAAATAATATATATATATTTTTACGTTAAATTAAATAATATATATATATATATATATATATATATATATATATATATATATATATATATATATATATATATATATATATATATATATATATATATATATATATATATATATATATATATATATATTTTTACGATAGTTATATAAGTAAAAAAACAGTTTTTTTTAAAAAAATAAGATGTCCATTCAATGTTTATCCCGTTGAAACATGCTACGTTATGTAAATGGTAATATTTTCTAATCTACTGATCTCATATTTTTCATTTCTAAGTCTACTGAACTCATATTTGTCTTTTTGAAGTCTACTCAACTCATATTTGTTGTTTTTAACTTTATAGAATTTAAATATTTCAAAAATATAACCAGTGGCAGATTCAGCAATTTATGGTCTCCAAAAATTTTGTTTATAATTACATCAAATAAGGATGCTTTCCAAACTGCGACAACTTTTGCCTGGAAACAAAAAAAACCCTAAAATTTGTGATTCCCCGCCCCAGATGTGTTTTCACGTTTGATAAAATGTTGTTTTTTTTTTTAACTATTTTTGCCTAAATTATTATTCATCAATAAATTTTAAACTTCATGCAATTTTCTTTTTAGTAATTAAAAACTTCGTAATTTACAGAATATTTACATTTTCATAATTCATAAAGAATTTTAATTATAAGAGAAATCACTGCTGCAAAAGAACTGGGATAAATAATAATCAAAACATAAAATTTTTTTAAACGTGACATTGTTTGCGACATGAATTCAAAATTATTTGCTATGTACAAAATGTTACAGCAATTTATATAATTTTCAGTGTTTCTTTTTTAAATCTTTAAAAAAAAATTATTTTAGTTTATTTTAAAATTTCACAAACTATAAAATTTAAAAAATATTAATTCAGTTAAAAATATATTAAAAAAACGTAAAAAGTTGGTGAAACATTTTTTTTTTGAGGGGGGCAAGGGGGTTTTTATTTGCTCTCAGACTCCAATCAATGCAATTTTTTGAAAAGCATCCTTATTTGACATTAATATAAACATATAAATGTCATATAGTTTGGAGTTTGCTCCATGTCTGGAAATTAGCTCAAACATCATAAAATGCTGGATCCGCCCCTGATAACTTTTTTTTAGAAATTTCCTGTTCTTTACATTAATTAAACTCTTTGTTGGATTTTCTAATATAAATTTAAGTATAATAAAGATCTTTATAAAGTCATTAACTTTGTAAAAAACGTTACCCAAAAAAACTACGTTTTTTAAAAAAAAATTCATTTAAAACTTTGTTTGCTTTTTTTTATTCCTATTAAGTATTATAGTCTTATATATTATAAGTCTTAGCAACTAAATATATTAAGTATTGTCTTAGCATTTAAATATATTAAGTATTGTCTTAGCAACTAAATATATTAAACGAAGTATGCTTAAAGTAATTAAATTTCTAACATTTATTTATTTTTAAAAGATTTTATTTATTTTAAAATTTTTTTATTCCATTACAATGTAGGAAGTAGTCGGTTTTGCGTCCAGAGACAAATAAACAAACCCTCAAATGATCAAAATAGTTTAAAATTGATTAATTATTCACTGCCTGTTCGAAGTGGTATGGACAATGAAGAAACATCATTAGGAATTATAAATGAACTAGATTTATTGTTACGAGAACTAGCTTCTTCCAAAGCCAAATCAGATAAAAACGTAAAAGAGAATCAGTGTGATGATCCTTGCGAGGGTTTTTACGAGATAAAAACAGCGCCAATTTATAATAAAGTAAAATGTAGTTTTAAAAGTAGCTCTAAACTCCATCTTCCTTCAAAATTTCAAATTTCAATTTCAAAAAATGGAGATGCGTCAACTTTGGAATCATCCGGCAGCGCTTTCAATAAAATATATCGGAATACAAATAATAATCAACTAGAGAATTCTTCTTTAAATTGGAACTCAAACAATAACGAACCAAAAATTCCTTCTCTAAATAACAATTCTTTTCAGGAAATTGAAGACAAAAAATGTGAAAATGAAATTTGTGAGCCTTATTTATCGTTTGGTAATAGTTTAGAAGAAAAAGAAAAAAATGAAATTGTTCCAGGTACAGTTGCTACGAGAGTCAACGTACTGCGTAACGTTTTTTACGCCGATAAAGAATGTATTAAAAAGATAGACGCAACTGTTTCTGGAATTGAATCTGAAAGAGAAGTTGTTGGAAAAGTTGCACAATGTAACTCTCAACCTTTAACAGTTAACTCTTGCAACACTAAATTCAATGTTGGCTCTTGCAACTCCAATTGCGATCTTGGCTCAGCTGATAGTGCTGCTAAAATCAGTTACAATCAAACGTTAAATTGTATGAAGTTTTTTCTTTTTTAACATTATTACAATATTATAATTATCATTGTTATTACCATTGTCATTAGTCGCAATACTATTATTATGACCATCATCATCATTTTTATTGATTTTAAATTTGCAACTTAATATAGGGGAGGGGATAGATGTAGGTAAGACTTCTATCCTTATAAAAAGATTTTTTCAAATTTTTAGACTTATCAGAGGATAGTAATAGCTTGATATCCAATACGTATAATGGCAATACTTATTACAATCCTAATTCTAATAAAGAAAACGATAAAAGAGATTCAGACAATTTTGATATCTGCGACAATTATGGAGCCATTCTTGACGATGCGCTAAGAAGTGACATTGAAAGCTTTAAATCGTTAGTTTTTCAGCTTATCACAAATTATATTATTATTATTTAGTTGTATTTACATATATTTATTCTAAGACATTGTTATTATCTGTTACTTATTATCGTTATATTTATGATTTTATAAATATTTATAATGCACTTAAAAACGTGTAGTTAAATTTTCTTTATTTTTTATCATTCTGTTTAGAGAGAGTTTTCCATGCACGGATTCGGCATACGGTGAATCTATGAGAAGTTCATCTTCATCTCCAGTACTTTCTCCTTTAAGTAACGAAGAAGATGCTGTCCTTAATCAACCATTTACGCACGGGAGAGAGTCTCCGATAGAACTACAAGATGATTCTTTTTGGATACAGACAGATTCAACAATAAAACATTTTCCTGGTGTGTCATTTTTTCAATTTAAAAAAATTTAAAATAATTTTATTCATTTTAGCAACAATTTTTAGTAAGTTTCTATTATGTTGTTAATCTTTATTTCTATTAAATTACAGAAAAAAATATGGAAAAGTTTGTATGTGACACAAGAAATTATGCAATTGATACGAGAAACTACGCAATTGATGATCAGTCATTAGCAGAAGGGAATCTTAAAAACATTGATAGATCTAAAAAAGAGTCCGGAACACTTACAGGATCTAAAAAGCAAAACAGCAACCATGCGTAAGGTTTAGTTATTTTGGTTTAGTGTTCTTGATAGTGTTTTTTTTTTTTACTTATTCATCTCTGCAAAGAAGGAGAGACCTCTACTTTATGGGAAACTTTTCATTATTGAAAAGTTGTTTATAACCACATAACTCCAAGACAAAAACCATTTTGTTTCTCCCTATTTGACAAATAAGGCATCAGAAACACTTACAACGGTACTACCAACAAAGATATAGTCGGATTAGATATCCATACCAATCTCTTAACAGGCAAGCGCTAAAACTACTGTACAGCAACTGTATTCCAGTGGGCATGCATTGTCCGGGGTACGTCCGTTGGATGTCTTATGGACACAAATAATTGCCACGACTTAGATTTGTAATTATATTTAACGCAAACAAAATATACAATTTTAGAATTGGTTAAATTGGTTGGTTAAATTGGGGAAGTTTAAGTTGGGTTAGATTGCGTTGGTGTAGAGTAAATTGAGTAAAGGTGAGCTCGGGAAAATTGTTAAAAGATAAGCTATAAAGCATTTTATTTTATTACTTTTAATTTTTTATTCACCTGTGGTATCTAAAGTTTAACACAAGGCATACGGTATTTAAAAAGCTTAAAAATGTAGGCTGTAAGTGGGATGTAAAGATGTGGGATGTGGGTATCTATAGTACTTTACTATTTTAATAGTTTTGAGGCTTATAAAAACTTCTTTCTAATATCATCATTTTTAAGATTAAACCTACAAAAAAAGAAAAAAATGTTGTAAATAAAGTTCTTCCGTGATAAAATTAAGGAAACATTCTGATTATCTAGTGTTTGGTTATTGTTATAAATTATTATTTATATTATGTTTTTACAAACGAACAAAAAATTTAATTAAACAATCTTATTAATTCTTATATAATTAATTAATTTTATTTTATTTATAGAAATTATATATATCCCAGTCGGCAAAATTTACTTTTTTTCACGTGAACTTCTCGTGTCGCGGGAACGTGAATTTGACATTAAGTACGGGATACGAAAACGCGTGATAATAACCCAAATTATTTCGGAATTTTTTGAGTAAAATTCACGTTTCAGAAACTGTTTTTTTTGTGTTTGAGCTGTATTCCAGACATGGAGTAAGCTCTAAACATTTATGTACGTATGTTTATAATTATGTCAAATAAGGATGCTTTGTAAAAAAATGCGATGATTTGAGCCTAAGATCATAAAAGCCCTAAAATTTTGATGACACCTGTCCCAAACTTGATAGCAACAAGTTTATAAAATATATATTTTTTATTATTATTCTCAAATAAATCTATATTCGTCAATAAATTTAAGAATTTATGCAATAACCTAGTAGCGTTCAAAAACGCTAACCATTTAAATGGAATATATTTATACAAATATAATTATGTAAATATATCATTTTATATAAAGTGTGTTGTCAACTACATACGGCAGTAAAAACTCATCCTTAGCATTTACACAAAACATTTCAGAAATTTTTTTAGGTGAATAAAACATTTTTTGTCGTTATTTTATTGTTATGATTTTTTTTTCTACAACAAAAATCCATCCAGTCGGAGTCACGTGGCTATATCGCAAAATCAAAAGTAACCATATCGAATTGGGGGAAAACAAACTATTCTTTCTTATACGCAAGGTTAAGAAAACATTACATAACAATAATTGTATGACTTACAATAACATTAAAAATTAATCAAAAGAAACAACGAATAGATGTCTGCAAAATATAAGTCATTTAGGTAATTTTACTTTATTTTTACATACTTTTAGATCTCTGTTTAAATAAAATGACGCCGTCTACATATTATTTTGGTTATTTTAAGGTATAAAAAGTACTAGTATTTTGATATTTATTTAGCAGTACTAAATTAAGATGCAAATTAAGTAACCCACCAGTAATAAAGTGTTCCGAACAAACATAAACATTACAAGATTTTAGGAACCATTGCTTGCTACATGAACTACTATCAGCACGATTTTATCATATTCAACTACTTTCTTTTAAGTGCTTCATCTTTAGGAAAACTTAAGTTTTGATTTTTTATTTTATTTTGTTAGTGCAACCAACTGCGCAGCAACTTTTTAGGATTTGAAAAAAAAAAAAAAATTCAATACGGAGTGACGTCACGCCGGCTAGATGGATAAGATTTCTTTATTTTTAATATTTTTAAACTAGATAAAATATTAAACATGAAGATATATTTTAAAGGACAAAACTGTAAGCAATATTCCATAACAGAAATGTAGCTTTCTCTACTTAGGGGTACTTTGGTTTTGTCCCCCTATAGTAAATACTTATAACTTTAATGTAGAAAAAGTTACCCGACGAGACTTACTAGTGCTTAATAAGTCTCACTCAGGCTCACTTAAGCACTAATTTTTACAAATCTAATAGGTCAATATACAAATCTAAGGTAATCTAATAATCTAAAACTAGCAAGAGGTAAACTTTATTTGAATTGGATTTATAAATTAATTGTTATTTGTAGAAACTTTAAGTATAAATAATATATATAACTTATATGTTTGTATTAAATATTATACTAAATTAATGACATAGTGCAATAACTAATTTAGTTATTTGACATCTTTATTTATTGCAGCGTATCTACCATTTTTGAGTCAGTTATTTCAGCATCTACCATTTCTAACTCTTTAAAAGATTTTTTTTTTAAGTATATATTTTGCTGGTTATTAAAATAAGTTACATAAGAGTTTTACGTAAAGAAACATAAAAACTTAAATTACAAATTATCTGAAGAACGAAAACTGAAGTTAAATTAAATGTCAGTAGCAGTAACGAAAATAGGAATTAAATTACAAACTATTATCATACGAAAACTATTGAATATAAATGTTATTATTGAACATAAATTTTCTTTTTTGATAATTTATTTACATACTTGTTTTATTGTTGACGCACATGTCTGACCACAAAGCTGGTTCACGCTCTCTGTCTTGTTCGTCATGTTTTTAATTTCTTTAATATTTGGCTTTTGTCCCGTCAATATTCGATAAACCTTTTGTTACAAAATCATTTAAATATCTAAAGAATCGAGCATTGTTTCTAATTATTTAAATAATAACATTATAATGAACTTATCGAGGTTATTGGCTGGTAGGAAGCATGGCAGTTCCGTACAAAAATTCTTTATTTACAATAAAAGAACGAGAAAATCCACATGTCTATTAGAGGAAAAAAAAAATAAGAGCACGTACGATACTTCTCTTGCCAGAAATATTCTGTAAGTAAGAAACTGTTTTAATAATGTTGTTTGAAACCATTATAATTATACTTAATTATACAAATATACAAGTTAATGTCTCGTAAAAAGTTCGACATTTTAAAATATTATAGAAGTAAAATATTAAATAAATTAGAAACTGAAATAAGAAGTAAAATTATTGAAAGGAATTATGTTATAGATAAAATCAAAATTAGAAATAAAATCAATGATTCAACAGCTGAACAAAAAATGAAATTGATATTTTTCATTTTTTGTCCAATTATTTATAAACTTTTCAACTTTATCTTAAAATAGTTTCCCAATTAAAATGCGCAATAAAATAATTAAATTAAATAAAGTAGAAAAGTTGAAGAACCTCTGTCCTTGGCTCCTCCCTTTAGAAACACCCCTGATTGCATGTTACTAGGATATACTGGAAATTACATATTACTTGGGATACACCACTTTAAATGAGTTTTGTTTTAGAGAAGCAATTAATTTTAATATTTGTACGTCACACATGACGTACAATCATCAAAATTATTTGAATAATTATTTTAAATTGGTTTATCAATAATTTTTTTTAATATATTGATTTTAATATATTGATTTTAATATATTTTTTTAATATATTGATTTAGTTGATGTAGATAAGCTAATTAGTCAATTAAAGATAATTTAAGTAAAATTATTTATAGTATTGCAGATATCGAGATTTAAATCTTATCTTAGTGCAAAGGTCAACTGGTTCAGTGAAGACAACATCTTACAAATATAAATGTATATAACATATTTTTCTATCTTTTATCTGTTTAATATCAAATAAAATCTTTACAAAAAAAAAATGTTCCATACATAGTAAAACCTTTACAAAAAAAGGTTCCATACATAAAAATTTTCTAGATAATATTTTTTAAGAAAAATAAATAAAAAAAGAATTAAACAAACATTATTCAATTCTTTTAAATAATTTTCATATTAGGTTTCAATAAAATATCATAATAATATTAAAATCCGTGAAAATAAAATAAAATAATAATACAAAATGGTCAAACAAAATCAGACAAACAAAAAAAAGGCATTAAATTATGACTTTGGAGAAACTTTAAAACTTTAAACTTACAATTGTTTCTTAAATTCAAACTTCAAGTACAAATGTTTCTTAAATTGAAAAAAATTTAAATTTTAGAAACACTTGTACTTTTTTTTTTGGTTAAAACTTGTTATGAACTAGTAAGCTTATTTGAGTTCTTTTTGATAATTTCTCCTTATTTTTCGATATCCAATGTTCCGTATATTTATTATACTTTCAAAACAGTTTATATATGTTTTTATTTTTTATTATTATTATATGCTTTGTTATTATATTAGATTATTTTTTGTTGTTACATGTCTTATTAATTTATTATTTCTTCCAACAATGGTGGTTGAGTACTTACTTCCGAAATGTTTGGTATAGCAATAAATTAGCATAAATTAGTATGAGATTTAGTGACGTATGAGTAAACTAGTTACACCAATGATTTTGGTGATTTTTGACTGAATGTATTTGATTTGATTTCTAAAAATCTTATACTGATTTTAATATAGGATCAGGCAACTTAAGCTTTAAAATGAAATAGTGGATAATTCATTTCGACAACATTAGTTGAAAAGTCCTCAAACCAGTTATTTTCTTTGCTTAGTTCATGAGAGATATCGGTAGATCTAGCTTCATTCGGAATTAAAACCCGAAATGTGGTTGTCACAATCTAGGCGTAAACCAAAAAC